TGTGATTATTTTTTTTTCATTCAAAACAACAAATATAATCATCATTCACTTTATCTCACAAGGGTTATCTCTCTTTCTGGAATGATAACATCTCGTACACACTCAGAGGCTGCATTCTTATTGAATTGGCATTTCGAGGTCGAATAGCAATGGTTAAAGATCCAAATCGTCGTAAAAGTTTGCTTTCAGAGCGAAATATTGAAGTGCTGGATGATAAACTGACTGGTGAAGTGCTGCTAGATGAGGCATTAAAAATGATGAAAACAAGTGAAAAGATGAGTGTGGGAAACTGGATTGATTTAATGAGCGGTAAGTCTTCATCAATAATTTTTTTTTAAGAATTATATGTGAAACTATCGAATAATGAAGAAAATTTTATTTGTGGATAATTGTATATGTGTGTGTATACATATTATCCAGGAGAAACATGGAACGTCATGAAAATAGGTTATCAATTAAAACAAGTGCGGGAACGTCTTGCTAAAGGATTAGTAGACAAAGGCATTTTACGAACTGAGAAACGCAATTTTCTTCTTTTTGACATGGCCACACATCCAGTCAGCGACTTTTCAGCAAAAGAAGAGATTGTAAAACGTTTAATAAACACACTAACCACCCACTCATCGGCTACCGCTTCTTCCGACCCCGACATACCATTCAGTCAATTACGCACCATATCAATGGTATGCGCGGCATATGCGGCAAACGTGCTTGATAATGCTTTGGCAAATTTAAATCATGAGCATCGGGAGCGAGCCTACGCAAAAGTGGATGAATTGTTGAGTGATTATTCGGTTTGGCCGTTTACTAACTCGCGCATCGAGATTCCCGAGGGAAAGGACTTGCAGATTGAAGTTGTGGCAGCGGTGTTGAATGTGTTTACAAAGATGGATAGTATTTTGTAGTTATGAATTAATCCTTTTTATATAATTATTGTTATTATTAATGTCTTTTTTTATATTATTATGATCCAATCCTTCTATAATACTCCTCATTTATATATTGATTGATATATTGTATTTTACATTTTTTGAGATCACCAAATCCGATGTTAATTTGTAGATTGATGGAAAATAGTTTTATGTGGATGAATCACCTGATTAATCGAGGTTTAGTCGAGAGTCGTGATGAAGACGATGTTCAGGTTTTTGTAATATTTCGTTTTTCTTTGATTTGAATGGGCTTATCTTTGATTTAAAGAGATAGGCAAGTTCTATCATAATTTTATCAAATTCATTATAGAGAAGTTTGATTTTTTATTGTTCACTCCCATTTTTTAATCTAATACAATTCGCACACATTCATCATACAAAATACGTACAACAGAGTTAGGTTAGTGTAATTTTTATAAAAAGAATTTTGAACAATTGAAGTTAGTGGCGTTATAAATAATTGATTTGCATACGAGATAATCATTTATAAATAAAGATAATTCCCTAATGTTAAAAATTGACAATGACGTTAAACGATAAGCGCGGTAGGGTTATACTTTAAATAACAATTAAAAAATTTACTGCATTGGGAATATTTGCTAACCAGAAAAAATTAATATTCTAATTATTTGAAAGTTAAAATAATTTCTAATATTTCTTCTTTAGCCCTTTGTCTATATTTGTTCATTAATTTATATTTGACTAAAACAATAATAAACACAAATAACTTTAGACTTTATAAATTATCAATAGTAACTAAATTAATTAAATATAGTCTGTTCAATTTTGCTTTTTAAGAGGGATAATTATAGAAGATTAATAAATTTGTTTATAAATCATGTATATAAAAGTTTTTGCAATATATATGATATATAATATTAATTTTTTGAATATAAAATAAATTCAAAATTTAATTGGATATTATGTAATAATAGTCGTAAAAGTCAAGAAAATAAGCAATCCTTCCATCAGGGTTGATTATCAATAACCAGACATTCAAAACAAATGTAGCTTGTTAGATTCGTCTCAATGGGGCAAAACATTTTGATAGTTGTTTCGTTCGATATATTTATAAAAAATATATTTATTATAATATATGTGTTGCTTATTCAATTTTTCTAAGGCTTATTGGTACCTAAAGAGAAGGTTGCTTGTTTCGAAAATGTCAAATATAACTAATTCATCTTTAACAAGACTATTCTGAAAGTATTATATTAAATACTAAATATTATAATATTAAGCAGATTATTTGAAATTGGATTTTATTAAACAAATAAAAGTTTTCCAAAAATAAGCTATCCTATGTTGCTTTATTTGATCCTTGCCATCGTTAGTAGCATGAATGTTTGTTTATTTATTCATAGTATGTTAAAATATTAACTACATGTATTACAGGCATACCATACCAGTACGCTCGTAAGTTTGTAACAGTGAATACTTAATTGCCTGATGTTCTAATCTTAGAGTTCGTACAACATATTCATTCTTTATCACTCAAGTTGGCTAAAATAGCGTAACATTCCTACTTCCCTCAATGTAA